TTGACGGTAGCATCTCATCCTTCCACCGCGCACTCCTACTCTCCGACCGGGACGTTGATGCCTCGTCCCCACGAGGCCACAACACCAAAGATGCTACCCAGCAAGCAAAGGTTGAAGATTGTCCGAGAGTTGATCTACAAGAGAGATTATGGAAAGCTAAATAAGCAAACGATTCCTTTGGCAGCATCTCATCCTTCCACCGTGCACTCCTACTGTCCAACCGGGACATTGATGCCTCGTCCCCACGAGGCCACAACACCAAACACGCTACCAGCAAGCAAAGTTTGAAGATTGTCCGAGAGTTGATCTACAAGAGAGGTTATGGAAAGCTAAACAAGCAAACGATTCCTCTGGCCAATAACAAAGTCATCGAGCAGGGCCTGGGTGCGGGCGAAGATGACATTGCGATTCTCGCCTGCCTGCTACTTCTCGGTGATAGCCTTCTCCTTCTTCTGGAAGTCAATAGCCGCAGGCTTCTTGAAGTAAGGCTTCTTCAAGTAGGTTTCCTTTGGCCCGGTGCTAGCAGACGCGTGTGGTCAAGGCCGAATTGGAGATAACATGCACACAGGGGCCGATGCCTCGTCCCCACGAGGCCACAATACCAAAGACGCTACCCAGCAATGGGTTCATGGAGACGTGCGCTTGCCAGCACCTAGCGGTTGACGGTAGCATCTCATCCTTCCACCGCGCACTCCTACTCTCCGACCGGGACGTTGATGCCTCGTCCCCACGAGGCCACAACACCAAAGATGCTACCCAGCAAGCAAAGGTTGAAGATTGTCCGAGAGTTGATCTACAAGAGAGGTTATGGAAAGCTAAATAAGCAAACGATTCCTTTGGCAGCATCTCATCCTTCCACCGGGCACTCCTACTCTCCGACCGGGACGTTGTTGCCTCGTCCCCACGAGGCCACAACACCAAACACGCTACCAGCAAGCAAAGTTTGAAGATTGTCCGAGAGTTGATCTACAAGAGAGGTTATGGAAAGCTAAACAAGCAAACGATTCCTCTGGCCAACAACAAAGTCATCGAGCAGGGCCTGGGTGCGGGCGAAGATGACATTGCGATTCTCGCCTGCCTGCTACTTCTCGGTGATAGCCTTCTCCTTCTTCTGGAAGTCAATAGCCGCAGGCTTCTTGAAGTAAGGCTTCTTCAAGTAGGATTCCTTTGGCCCGGTGCTAGCAGACGCATGTGGTCAAGGCCGAATTGGAGATAACATGCACACAGGGGCCGATGCCTCGTCCCCACGAGGCCACAATACCAAAGACGCTACCCAGCAACGGGTTCATGGAGACGTGCACTTGCCAGCACCTAGCGATTGACGGTAGCATCTCATCCTTCCACCGCGCACTCCTACTCTCCGACCGGGACGTTGATGCCTCGTCCCCACGAGGCCACAACACCAAAGATGCTACCCAGCAAGAAAAAGGTTGAAGATTGTCCGAGAGTTGATCTACAAGAGAGGTTATGGAAAGCTAAATAAGCAAACGATTCCTTTGGCAGCATCTCATCCTTCCACCGTGCACTCCTACTCTCCGACCGGGACGTTGATGCCTCGTCCCCACGAGGCCACAACACCAAACACGCTACCAGCAAGCAAAGTTTGAAGATTGTCCGAGAGTTGATCTACAAGAGAGGTTATGGAAAGCTAAACAAGCAAACGATTCCTCTGGCCAACAACAAAGTCATCGAGCGGGGCCTGGGTGCGGGCGAAGATGACATTGCGACTCTCGCCTGCCTGCTACTTCTCGGTGATAGCCTTCTCCTTCTTCTGGAAGTCAATAGCCGCAGGCTTCTTGAAGTAAGGCTTCTTCAAGTAGAATTCCTTTGGCCCGGTGCTAGCAGACGCGTGTGGTCAAGGCCGAATTGGAGATAACATGCACACAGGGGCCGATGCCTCGTCCCCACGAGGCCACAATACCAAAGACGCTACCCAGCAATGGGTTCATGGAGACGTGCGCTTGCCAGCACCTAGCGATTGACGGTAGCATCTCATCCTTCCACCGCGCACTCCTACTCTCCGACCGGGACGTTGATGCCTCGTCCCCACGAGGCCACAACACCAAAGATGCTACCCAGCAAGCAAAGGTTGAAGATTGTCCGAGAGTTGATCTACAAGAGAGGTTATGGAAAGCTAAATAAGCAAACGATTCCTTTGGCAGCATCTCATCCTTCCACCGGGCACTCCTACTCTCCGACCGGGACGTTGATGCCTCGTCCCCACGAGGCCACAACACCAAACACGCTACCAGCAAGCAAAGTTTGAAGATTGTCCGAGAGTTGATCTACAAGAGAGGTTATGGAAAGCTAAACAAGCAAACGATTCCTCTGGCCAACAACAAAGTCATCGAGCAGGGCCTGGGTGCGGGCGAAGATGACATTGCGATTCTCGCCTGCCTGCTACTTCTCGGTGATAGCCTTCTCCTTCTTCTGGAAGTCAATAGCCGCAGGCTTCTTGAATTAAGGCTTCTTCAAGTAGGATTCCTTTGGCCCGGTGCTAGCAGACGCGTGTGGTCAAGGCCGAATTGGAAATAACATGCACACAGGGGCCGATGCCTCGTCCCCACGAGGCCACAATACCAAAGACGCTACCCAGCAATGGGTTCATGGAGACGTGCGCTTGCCAGCACCTAGCGATTGACGGTAGCATCTCATCCTTCCACCGCGCACTCCTACTCTCCGACCGGGATGTTGATGCCTCGTCCCCACGAGGCCACAACACCAAAGATGCTACCCAGCAAGCAAAGGTTGAAGATTGTCCGAGAGTTGATCTACAAGAGAGGTTATGGAAAGCTAAATAAGCAAACGATTCCTTTGGCAGCATCTCATCCTTCCACCGTGCACTCCTACTGTCCAACCGGGACGTTGATGCCTCGTCCCCACGAGGCCACAACACCAAACACGCTACCAGCAAGCAAAGTTTGAAGATTGTCCGAGAGTTGATCTACAAGAGAGGTTATGGAAAGCTAAACAAGCAAACGATTCCTCTGGCCAACAACAAAGTCATCGAGCAGGGCCTGGGTGCGGGCGAAGATGACATTGCGATTCTCGCCTGCCTGCTACTTCTCGGTGATAGCCTTCTCCTTCTTCTGGAAGTCAATAGCCGCAGGCTTCTTGAATTAAGGCTTCTTCAAGTAGGATTCCTTTGGCCCGGTGCTAGCAGACGCGTGTGGTCAAGGCCGAATTGGAGATAACATGCACACAGGGGCCGATGCCTCGTCCCCACGAGGCCACAATACCAAAGGCGCTACCCAACAATGGGTTCATGGAGACGTGCGCTTGCCAGCACCTAGCGATTGACGGTAGCATCTCATCCTTCCACCGCGCACTCCTACTCTCCGACCGGGACGTTGATGCCTCGTCCCCACGAGGCCACAACACCAAAGATGCTACCCAGCAAGCAAAGGTTGAAGATTGTCCGAGAGTTGATCTACAAGAGAGGTTATGGAAAGCTAAATAAGCAAACGATTCCTTTGGCAGCATCTCATCCTTCCACCGTGCACTCCTACTCTCCGACCGGGACGTTGATGCCTCGTCCCCACGAGGCCACAACACCAAACACGCTACCAGCAAGCAAAGTTTGAAGATTGTCCGAGAGTTGACCTACAAGAGAGGTTATGGAAAGGTAAACAAGCAAACGATTCCTCTGGCCAACAACAAAGTCATCGAGCAGGGCCTGGGTGCGGGCGAAGATGACATTGCGATTCTCGCCTCCCTGCTACTTCTCGGTGATAGCCTTCTCCTTCTTCTGGAAGTCAATAGCC